TGTGTGTGTGTGTGTGTGTGTGTGTGTGTGTGTGTGTGTGTGTGTGTGTGTGTGTGTGTTACGCAGTTTTCTTGATTTGACTGTACACCACGTCTCAGTAAGACACCCATGCAAGTCTTTGTACAATGAGGCCCCTGGTGATTCTGAAGACCTAAAGGTGCTGGAGAGACTTACGAGTGAGAAAATCTTTGATCTGTCTGATGAGGCTCCGCAGCTCCTCGTTGCTCTGGTTGACCTTGTGTTTGGTTCTGTTGGTCTTCATCAGGACGTTAAAAGCGCTCAGTTTGGCCTCATCAGCTTGTTTCTTCACCTCAGACACCTGAAGAGAAATTAAACCTGAGAGCACTTCTCATAGTCCTCCTGAAACCACAGACCAGGAGCCGGACTCACCATCTTTGAGAGTTTCTCCACCTCTGCCATGGTGCTCAGGATTTCCCGTTCGGACTCCTGTGCTTTCATCATCACATTGTTGGCTGTCGCTACGGCGCCATCGCAGCCTTCTCCCCCACACCTGCTCTGACCCTCRGAGTCCGCACATCCCAGACCACCACAGGACGAAGACCAGCATGAGTTCTGACCAGGTAGTGGACTGCCACAGGTCTGTATGAACCAGGACARGAAGGAAGAATAAACTCTAGTCCAAATTCCAACAACACGTTCTACCAAAATGCTGCCATAAATCATTTTTGCTTGATAACTCAGCAACTAAGAAAGCTAAAGATGTGAAATTTTCAGTTATGCCTACATTTTGATGCACGTTTGATCTGGTGATAAATGGGAATTAAAAGAGGATCGATATGAGTCATGGTCATACTAAGAGCTTATTTAAGAGTATAGTTACACCAAACATTTATAGCTGCACAAAGCTGTGCATGCTAGCCCAAGCCTGTAGCATTAGCATCGGCTGCAACAGCCAGACCTGCAGCCGTTGTCCAAAATACTTTCCATTGCCCACCAAACTTTTGCCCAACCACAGTTACTCTTGAAAAATGGTGGCCGTTTTGAAATTTTGAGTGGCCATCCAGTCATTTTTAAAAATTGGCCTATTGAGAACCTATGTACCACCTACTATATACCACAACCATAAACGTCTGTCTACATTTTGTTTACTCACAACGCAGCTGCTGTCGTGTAATCTAAAATCCACAAGCTGGTCTAGGTGGTGGTACTATTAGATGAGCAGCTACTGTATTTATTCTCCCACCTTGCGGCTGATATCAGACAGGTCCAACGTCTGCAGCTCTCCRGCCAGCGTGTCCAGTCTCTGAGCGTGCTCAGAGTGCCTCTGCAGGAACTCCTCTGTGGTCTGGTTCAGTTTGTCCTCTGTGAGGTTCCGTAGAGCAGCAGAGGTTTCCACTGGGCTGCCGGCATCGACAGTTGAGGCGTTGGCTCGTGCTTCAGCTGCCTGAGACTGCTGGAAGTACTTGGTGACACTGCCTGTGGCACCTGGTGACAGACAAACAGTGAGGGATGCTAAAAGTAAAAGGAAAAACTCAAATTCTCAAATTTTTATTTTATTTTATTTTTTTCCACTTTTGGAGGAGTAAGATGCTTGTTTCCCTCTCTCCTGCCCTTCCTTATCTTCCCTATTTTGCTGCTCAGAGCCTCTTCTAAGTTTTTCATCCGAAACCGAAAATTTAGAATTTATTTTTATGGATTAGGTTAGCTGGTCTCTTAATAAACTTTTGGAACATTTTTTTTTATTTTTCCATGGGAGGACATGTCAAAGGTGGGATCTCTGTTCTGCTCTGTTCTGGATAGATATTTGGATTCTGATCACTGGATTCTACAGATTGGCTTGGTGGTCTCCTGATGTTCTACAAAACAACGTCGGTGGCTGTTCATTTCCTGGCTGCCTGACGAATATGAAGGATTGCTGTTCTATCAGCACTCAGACTTTTGCCTTGAGTGAGCTGGGACAAGGTCTGCAAGCGGTTCTGCTGAGGGTCGCGGGCCAATTGCAGTTCCTCGACTTTGCTGGCGAGATGGGATTGATTTTGGAGAAGCTGTGAGCTTGGCTTGGTGGAAATGTCCACGTTATTTGTCTGATTGGATCTGCCACATTGAGATGTACCAGCGGACATTAAGGCAGATGGAAAATTGTTATTGTCTGCCTGCCCGAAAGTACTTCTTGTTCCCAAACAACTGATTGCAGATTTGTGTCTCCAACCCATGTGAAGGCGGTGGATCAAATTTCTCCTGGTGTTTACGTTGACTTGAGGCTCCTCCCCCAAYCTCACCCCCTCTCACTCTGTTTAATCTGATTTTCCTGAAGGTCAACCTGGAGCTACAAAGAGTGAACAATTTCAATACCAATATTCTGAACTTGGCTGAACTACGAGTTTTTCTTTTGGGAGGCTGGATTATTTGGACTAATTTCCTCTCAACTCACTTACTCCTCTGGCTAATAAATGTGCTCTTGCTTGTAGAGTTTTTTTTTTCAAAAACACCTTAGTGTATCATATTTCATTGATATAATATGATGTTTTTTCCCCTCATCCAACAACTGTGTTTTTTTCATTTTTCTTTTTAAAGATAGCACGACCCCTGCTGGTTGCTGCATGACCTGATCACTTGTTCTCCCATGTTTTTGTCACGTGTGCGTCTTCTTGAATGGTAATTTCATTGTGCTCTGTACAATGACAATAAAGGCATCATCAATCAATCAATCAATCAAATTGAAAATTCTGTTTTGGTGCACCAGGGAGTTTTCAGAGTGAGATGATTTCTGTTATATTGCTAAGACAAATACAAACACAACCAAGTAGAGCTGTTGAAAACAACCCCTGGGGCAGCTGTTAATATGAAGTAATTCAGTTTAAAACAGATGTTCTCAAACTGAGGGGCGAAGGGTCATACAAGGAGGGGGGCGGGGGGTAGGGTTTCTATTATTTTTATTTTGCTTTTAGTTTTAGGCTAAATAACTTGCAAGCAGAATCAATGTCTAGGCCAGGGACGGGCAACGGGCAGCCCACAACTTCTGTCATGTCCACCCTTGTGACTCTACGAGCTGCTATGAGTACTTTTCTTAAGTACAAAAACAATTTAAAAAAATAAAATCTGTTCACAGAATTTCAAGTCAAACCTGTGTTTTGTCAGCTTAGAGATGCTGTCTGCGAAGAAAGGTTTTAATAAGTTGCAACTACAACACGTTGCACAAAGCTAAATATGAGAAGTTTACTGAAGTCACAAGTACCGTATTTTTCGGACTATAAGCCGCGACTTTTTTCCTGAACTTTGAACCATGCGGCTTATAGTCCGGTGCGGCTTTTACATGGATTTTTTTCTTCAGCCAACAGGGGGCTCTTATGCTTCATTTGCTTCAACCACTCGCTTCAAAAAAAGAAAGGAAAAAAAAATAAAAAAGCGATCGCTTCCAGAGCCGACTGTTGTACCAGGAAGCAGCGATTTAAAGATAGTCAATGGCCAAAAACTCATAAAAGGGGATAAAACAGACATTTTTCACGGTAGAATCTGACTGATAAAAACTTTGCAGCTTAATCCAGGACCAGTTTGTGGATAAACGTCGAGTGAAGAGTCGCAGACTTTTTTTTCCTCATTGCACTCCCCGGGGAAGGAATCCCATGCAGTGACGTATGCTGGAGCTGGAGGGCTTTCCCACCACAGCTTCAGAGCCAGCATTACCCCGTGAGGACAGCGACACAGAAAGCAATACTGAACAGATTCCGCTGTGTGACGCAGCTTTTCTCAGCTTGTTTAACTCTGACACTGAAGAGGACTTTGATGGTTTCAGTGCACCGGAGGCCGATGAATGAGACGTTTTGTTGGACCAGAAACTGTTAAAGAAAACTACCAAAATAAGGTCAGTTAAATGAACCATATTCCTCCGTACTTTAAATCCTAAAGGTTTGCTTTTTATGTTTTGATGTTGAATTCACTTTTTTGACGGCAAATTTGGGTGTACTGTTTTTTTTATGTTGGGGGTGCGGCTTATAGTCTGGTGCGGCTTATAGTCCGAAAAATACGGTACATAAACAACAGACTTTTTACCATACTGTTACACTTCAGCTTGCTAAAGTACTTGTTTATTTTTTGTTTGCTTCAACCTGTTTGTATTCATGTTCATTAAATAATTATATTTAAAATGGCAGTTTTATTACATTTCGGTAAGTGTGCAGCGCTACGTGGCCCTCTGGTAGTTTCAACAAAAAATTGTGGCCCCTTCCATCATTTAAGTTGCCCATCGCTGGTCTAGGCATTGTTGCCACTTCGACTTATTTTTGTGATGGACCAGAGTTTTATCAGTTTTTTTCCTTTCCTGGCAGAGGCAGAGCCAGGTTGGCCATGGACGCAATAGAAAAATCTTTGACCACCCTAACCAGCGACATTTTGGCAAAGCCATTTTCATACGTCGAACGTTCCTTTCACCTGAGCTGCTCAAATAGGAAATTCTCATGATGTTACACATCATGAGAACTACATGGTAACTACTGCGGGTGTAATAGATATGAGAATGACCAAGAAACACAAATAGATACTTAGGAAATTGCCATATAGAAAAAAAAAGTTATTTTCTGGGCCAACCCTGTGTAACCAGTGGTCCCAGTCTGGCCACCACCATAAAAATGATCTGGCTCCATCACTGCTTCATGAGTTCTTAAAAAGAAAATGTGACGACTATCACAAAGCAGAAAAGTCCCTTTGAAATCAGCACCAATGAAGAAGAAAATAATAAACTCCTGATCATGCCTGCTCACAATTTAGATTTGTCTATCATTCTGTTTACAGATCTCACAGGGAACTTGTTCTGCTATAATATTAGGCTGCTGTACATTTGTTGGATTTCTTTTCACAGACTGAACTTTTCCACCAGTAGCTTCTGATCATTTAAAAAAATACAAAGTTTTGATCAATCAGTCAAAGGGTTTAGGAACAACTGTGACAGTTATCAGATTGACCTGCAGGGGGCGACAATGCTCCACAGACTGAGCTGGCTTTAGTTTAACAGATAAGAGAGTTAAATAATTAAACGTTGCAGGGGTGAAGCGTCACTAATAAAGTGTTTACCGTGTGGTTTCATGAAGCTGAAACTAATTTGGATTTTTGACATTTTACCTCTGATGTCGGAGTTCTTGATGAACTCCACCTGATCCAGCAGCTCCAGGACGGTCCGCTCCAGTTTCTGAGCATCGGCCGTCATGAAGTCCACTTTGGTTTTCACAGCAGAATCCTGTTGGTCCACCAGAACCAGTGTCTCCTCAGTGTTGTTCAAGGTCTGAGTCAGAGCTGCCATCAAGTCACTGAAGCAAAGACAAGAGGTAAAAGTTCAGAGGTTTTACTGACCGGGACTGTTTTCATCAAACCAAACCAGACCTCACCTTGCCTGCTGAAGCAGGCTTTGGATCTCACTCAGTGGTTGTGAGGCCGGGTTTTGGTCTAGGATGACCTGGATATCAGCGGCGCTCTTCTCCATGCTCTGAAAGGACTTCCTGTAAGGCGCACTGATTCCGCTGGCTTTAATGGCGTTGACCTTATTGACCAGCCGATGCGTCTGATTGGTCAACTGACCGATGACGTTGTCCCATTCTGCGAAACACTGGTGGCAGCGATGGCAGTCTGGAAAGGTTCCGGTGAACCCGCGAGCGCAGACGTCACACCGGGGTCCCGACACGCCCTCCACGCAGACGCAGTGACCGCTGACTTTGTTACACTGCTGCTCCGAGACCCCGCGGGGGTCACAGTCGCAGGCTGAGGAGACAGCAGCAGAGTTTACCAGTCAAACCAGTGTTTCTGTTGGAAACTCTCACCAAATCACCATTCAGCAGTTCAGGACTCAGGGGGCGGAGTCTGATGTGTGCTCAGCTCCATGTTTGTTGGGATAAAGGAAAGGAGTGCAGACGTGGGCACGGGTTGATAAATCTGAAAACATCCTTTATTCAGTATAAAAGCTGCGCTCTTTGATACATGAGACTGTTGGTGGTTTTGGCCATGAAATTCTGACATGATGCTTTGATTAGAGTTTCTCRCAAAGTCAGGAAGTAGGACTGACTGATCTAGAGACAGACGTTTCACAATCAGACCTACCACTAAGAAAAGAGGGTTATCAGATCTTTGTCAACTGTTGGAACTGAAAACCCCGTGTTAAAAAATGAAAGAGTTGTAGTTTTGGTCGCATGCATCAAAGTACAAAAACCAAATGACMCTCAGGAGGGAGTGGAGGGAGAGGGATCTGCATGTGACTTCAGATCACTGCAGTTTGAAAACTTAGAACTCCACATTTTTCAGTTTAAAGTGAGAAAAACTCGTGAGGTAGAAGAAAACAGCTTCACTAAGAAAAAAAAAAAACCAAGGAATTTCTTGAAGAGAACTCCTCAAGTGCTCAAATACCAGAGAACTTTGATCAACAGCCACCAGACCAGAGGACCCCCTATCTGACCATCAGCCCCCACCCCTCAGCACAATTACAGAAAGACTGAGCTAAAACTAAAGTTAGAACAAGAAAAGAACAAGAAACAGAACAGCTACAGTAACTAATGCCAAACTTATTAAAACAGAAACTAGTTATCTTTAAACTTTAGCTAAAAAAGAGCAGAACAGCAGCTAAACTTTAGCTGAAAAAGAGCAGAACGGCAGCTAAACTTTAACGAAAAAAGAGCAGAACGGCAGCTAAATTTTAGCAAAGAAAGAAAAGAACAGCAGCTACACTCTAGCTAAAAAAAAGCTAAACGGCAGCTAAACTTTCGCTAAAAAAAGCAGAACAGAAGCTCAACTTTAGCTAAAAAAGAGCAGAATGGCAGCTAAACTTTAGCTGAAAAAGAGAAAAATGGCAGCTAAACTTTAGCTAAAAAAAGAGCAAAACGGCAGCTAAACTTTAGCTGAAAAAGACAAGAACGGCAGCTAAATTTTAGCTAAAAAGAGCAGAATGGCAGCTACACTTTAGCTAAAAAAAGGCAAAACGCCAGCTAAACTTTAGCTAAAAAAAGCAGAACAGAAGCTAAACTTTAGCTAAAAAAGAGCAGAATGGCAGCTACACTTTAGCTAAAAAAAGGCAAAACGCCAGATAAACTTTAGCTAAAAAAAGCAGAACAGAAGCTAAACCTTAGCTAAAAAAGAGCAGAATGGCAGCTAAACTTTAGCTGAAAAAGATAAGAATGGCAGCTAAACTTTAGCAAAGAAAGAAAAGAATGGCAGCTAAACCTTAGCTAAAAGAGCAGAACGGCAGCTAAACTTTAGCTAAAAAAGAGCAGAATAGCAGCTAAACTTTAGCAAAGAAAGAAAAGAACGGCAGCTAAACCTTAGCTAAAAAAGAGCAGAACGGCAGCTAAACTTTAGCTGAAAAAGACAAGAATGGCAGCTAAACTTTAGCAAAGAAAGAAAAGAACGGCAGCTAAACTTTAGCTAAAAAAAGTGCAGAATGGCAGCTACACTTTAGCTAAAAAAAAGGCAAAACGCCAGCTAAACTTTCGCTAAAAAAGCAGAACAGAAGCTAAACTTTAGCTAAAAAAGAGAGAATGGTAGCTAAACTTTAGCTAAAAAAGAGCAGAAAGGCAGCTAAACTTTAGCTTAAAAAAGCAGAACGGCAGCTAAACTTTAGCTTAAAAAGAGAAGAATGACAGCTCAGCTTAAGCTAAAAAAGAACAGAATGACAGCTAAACTTTAGCCAAAAAAGAGCAGAWCGACAGCTAAATTTTAGCTAAAAAAGAGCAGAACGGCAGCAAAACTTTAGCTAAAAAAGAGCATAATGGCAGCTAAACTTTAGCTAAAAAAGAGCAGAACGACAGCTAAACCTTAGCTAAAAAAAGAGCAGAACGGCAGCTAAACTTTAGCTAAAAAAGAGCAGAACGGCAGCTAAACTTTAGCTAAAAAAGTGCAGAATGACAGCACAAATGTAGTTCAAAGCAAAACTGGAGAACTGTGCAAAAGCTGCGTCAGCATTTGAAAAAAATAAAAACATTTTGTTTTTCTCCTAAATCTTGACAACTTTTTATTTGTGAATTCAAATGTTCTACTGACACAAACCCTAAACCTCACAAACATCTATAAAGATGCTGAAGACTCTGTACATCTAACATCTGCTTCACATCTGGTCTGAATGAAACCAAACAGAARCTTTAATTTTCAGCTACAGAAACTGAAACTTTTCTGTGATTTTGAACCTTTTTAAAAAGTCTGAATGTCTTCAGCCCAGAAACACAAAAACACTGTAGGACTGATTGTCTCCTTTAACACACATCCTTTCTTTAGCCCTTTCTTTTTTTAAGCTGTTCACTTTTCTTGAACTTTCCTCCTTCCTGACTTGGACCTGTCTCTAACTGTCTCTCTTCACCCCCTGAGCCGACACTCAGACCCCCCATCAGCCGGATCTGATGATCTGAACTGTTTCACACTAACAGAGTCTCATTGTGTACATCTGTGGAAATGTGGCAGCTCGGATCAACGTCTGCTCTCGCTTCCATGGAGACAGAATAGCTGAGAACATCTGGATTTGATTGCACGAAGAAGGAGCCGAATGAGCTGAAATGTTCCCACGATGCAGGCTTTGGTTGGTTTCAGAGTTGATTCAGCTGTTGTTTTCAATATCTTAGTCCTTCATATAGTAAAACCTTTCAACTCTTTCAGGAGATGTGGACTGATTTTTTTATAACTTTTTGAATTATTGAACTTGATTTACAAAGATTTTCCCACATAAAATATCTTCAATCCCATTGTTCTTCTTAAAATCTGCTTTAGAATTCTTGCTGTATTTGTTTTATTGTGCTACTTTTAGCTTTTAGAGAATCTTTTACTAATGTCAGCTTTTAGCTAATCTTTTTTTCTGCTTTTACACTATWTTACCAAAAGTATTCACTCACCTGCCTATGAGCTTCAGTGACCTCCCATTCCTAATCCATAAGGTTCAACATGACGTTGGTCCACCCTTTGCAGCTACACTGCAAAAACTGTCCATCTTACCAAGTTTTATAATCTTATATCCAGCTAAAAAGTCTTTTTGATCTTGTTTTGAGACTGTTTTACTAAACAAGAACTGATTGTGTAAGAATAATAATCTTGTTTTCAGAATGTGTAAGATTATTTGTCTTGTTAGTCTGAAAATTGGACTCAAATTAAGTCAAAAATTTCTGCCAGTGGAGTAAGAAAATTTTACTTTGTAAGATTCTTGAAATACTTGATTTGACTCAATTTTTTTCTTATTTAAAGAATCTTACCAAGTAAAATTTTCTTACTCCATTGGCAGAAATGTTTTGACTTAATTTAAGTCAAATTTTCAGACTAACAAGGCAAATAATCTCACACATTCTGAAAACAAGATTATTATTCTTACACAGTCAGTTTTTGTTTAGTAACTCAGTCTCAAAACAAGATCAAAAAGACTTTTTGGCTGATATAAGATTTTAAATCTTGGTAAGATGGACAGTTTTTGCAGTGTAGGAGTGTGTTTATGGGTATTTCTGATATTTCTTCTAGAAGAGCATTTGTGAGGTCACATCCTGATGTTGGACAGAAGGCCTGGCTCTCAGTCTCCGCTCTAATTCATCCCAAAGGTGTTCTGTCGGGTTGAGGTCAGGACTCTGTGCAGRCYAGTCAAGTTCAYYCACACCAGACTCTGCCATCCATGTCTTTATGGACCTTGCTTTGTGCACTGGTGCACAGTCATTTGGATGGCTGAGCAAATACTTCTGGCGATATAGTGTAGCTTCAGCTACTTGTCCCTTTTACCTTCACACTTTACTTTTTTAGTTAGCTTTTTGTTACTTTTAATTTTTAGCTATTTTTATCTACGTTTAGCTAGCCATTTGTTAGCTTTCAATATGCTACTTTAAGCTTTTAGAGTATTTTATGTATTTTAGCTTCTAGCTAGTCATTTCATAGTTTTAACTAGCCTCTGGCTACTCTTAACTTTTTAGCTACTTTAGCTTTTAGTTAACCTCTTGCTACTTTTAGCATCTAGCAACCACTTTACTGTTTTTACCTTTTAGCTTGCCTTTTGCTATATCTAGCTTTTTGCTAGAAATAGACAAAAGCTTAAAAAAAAGCTTAGAGATAGCATTTTGCTACTTTGGCTTTTTAGCAAGTTTTTTGCCACTTTTAGCTAAGGTAAGTCAATCAGCTTCTTCAGTTGATTCCACTAGTCGTTCAGCCTTTCTCACAGAAGAGGAAGTCTCTAGTTTTGAACCCATCTGGGTTCCGGGGTGAGAAAGAGGTGAAACAAACGTAGCTGCAGTCTTTGTGGAAGCAGACATTTAAAAACGTGATGATGATGATGATGGTGATGATGATGATGATGATGTTCCACAGTGAACGTACCGTGACATTTTACTTCAGGGTCTCCCCAGAACAACTCTCTGCACTCGTTGCACGTTCTTCCACCGAAACCAGGATGACAAGAGCACTGACCGCTGATCTGAGGACAAAAACTGGATTATTAGTTTTCATGGCTTTATACAGCATCATGAGTTAGAACTCTTTACAAATACTGTCGAATTATTATGTTAAAGGTTATTTTTCTTGCCTACCACTGAAGCTCCTTCCTGTGTGTGTTTTTTTTCTGTTTATTGAACAATTATTTCATGAACCACAGGACTGATTTTGATGAAATTGTCAGAAAGTAATCAATCAGCTGTATTCAAGATGGCGACCACAGAAATGGCTGTAACTTTGCCAGTTGTACAGATACTGGCAAAGTATTAAACAAGCAGTCCTGATGCATCTCAGTAATCCAGGTAAAAAATCAAAAAGAAATAAATTGTGTAGGTCTTCTGGACGGGTTCTTCTCTAATGAAACGTTTCGTCTCTCCTCCAAGAGACTTCTTCAGTCTGAGAGTTTCAGGCAAAATTCAGGCCCAGCCTC